GTTCATATTCATTATCATTTCATATTCCCACATTCGTTGTTTATGCCATACGATAAGTCTGATTGCCACAACTCGAGAAAGCTATTAAGGATTCTCCTAACATTTCTAAAATTCATCATCCCGCAATTGCAAATGTACTAAGCTATGAAATGCTAGTAAAAGGTATAAAACTGCAGAACTTATCAAAGCAGTTTTAGGAAAACAATTAGTTACACCTTGCTGCACAAGATGGAATAGATTTTTGATAGTCTTAGTATATAAAAATTTAATGGCGAACTTCCTAAATTATGTCAAAAATTAGAATTTCCAAAATTAAGAGATATTGATATTCAATATTTAGAAGAATATTGCAATATAATGTCCCCATTGGCTATAGCGATTGACAAAATACAAAGTGAAATCAATTGCTATTATGGAGAATCAGCTCCAATATTAAATGTCGTTAAAAAAATTACAAATTTAATTCAAACTAAACCATTAGCTATTGCCGTAGAAAATTCTTATAAATATATATGATTTTAATAATAACTTTAAAAGCACATTTTTGGTAACTATTTCTCATCCCTATTTTATAAATCGTTGGATTGATGGTGAAAAAGAAAAAAAATAGTTTCAGGATTTGTTAATACATGAAGCTTTAATTATTTTTAAAAATATAATTGAAATTCATATGTCAACAAAATCTTAATTGATGAAGATGATGATTACTTTTGTTTTAAAAGTACCACATCCAATTCTAATAATTCAATAAATGATATTCAATTAGAGGTCCTAAATTATATGAAAGATGACAGGCGCAGTATAAATATGTTAAATAGTTATAAACATATAAAAGAAATATTTATTAAATATAACATAATAATACCCTCCTCTGCCTCCGTTGAACGATTATTTAGCTTTGCTAATATGGTTAATAGACCAAATCGTCAAATTGAACGATAAATTATTTGAAAAATTAATAATATTAAAAAACAATGTTGATTTATGATGCTGATTTATTATTATTTACTAATTATACAATTATCTAAAAAAATATCGCATTATCTTATATAATAAATTTGCTATTTTCTACAATTTATTTTAATTTTTTTTATAAATTTATATTATAAATAAGAAAATAAAGCTTTATACATTTTGATTTTGACTATTTAAAGTTTTTTAAAAAACTATCTTCTATCTTAGATACTTTTTTTAAAGATACAAGTATCTTGTATCTTATTGAAACTTTTCTAAAGTATCTAGTATCTTAAATACAAAATTTTATAAAGCATCTGTATCCGAATACAATTTTCTGAAAATTTTCCCACCCTGCCACCAGATAAATTTTCTTTGGATTCTATTGAAGGCTTTTTCTAGATCGAGAAAGAACATGTGTAGCTTTTTGTTCTTTTCCCTGTATTTTTCACTCATTTGCCTAGTTGCGTGGATAGCATCAGTTGTTGAAAAGCCAAACTGACTATCTCCTATTTCGATTATGTCTATTAATCTTTTTTCTATTATTTTTTCGTTTAGTTTTAGACAGTGTGATATTAGTTTTATGCCCCTGTAATTTTGACAATTGTGTGGATCCCCTCTATTTTTTAAGATAGGAACTAGATAGCTCTGCCTCCATTTTTGAGGGATCTCTTCATTTCCCAGTATTTTATTGTATAGATTTGTGAGGAGATGTATTCCATCATCTCCTACTGCTTTAAGGCTTTCTATTGGAATCTGGACCCCTAGCTTTGTTGTTTTTCATATGCATGAGGCATGTGATTATTTCTTGTTCTGTTATTGGTTGTACAAGGTTTTGACATGGGGAGTGTTCATCTAGATGTAGTATGCGGAGATTAAAGTTGAGAAGCTATTGAAAATATTCTTTCCATCTATTCCATATGTCTTTTTCCTTTATTATCTATTTCCCATCTTTATTTTTGATTACATTCGGAGTTCCATTTATATCCCTAGAATTCTTTTCTCGCTGTTTAGCTAATCTGTATATTTTATTTTGCCTTTTGTATGTAGTTCTTCATATATGTCATCGTATGCCATAGATTTGGCCCTAGCCATTGTAGCTATTCTCTTGGATTTTTTGTATCTTGTCTTGTCATTTGAGTTTTTGGATTTGTACCATATTTTATAAAGGGCTTTTTTCTCCTGTATAGTGGGTTGTACCTCTTCGTTCCACCACCATAGTTTTTTGCATGATTTGTTACCTCCCCTTGTTAAGGCTAGCATCTATTAATCTGGATGAAAGGTCTGTCCACATTTTTTCACTGACTTGTGAGGAAACTATTGTTTCAATGTTTGCATTGATTGCAAAGGCATCTGTCATTGTTTTTAATTTACCCCATTTGATGCATTCCAGTTTATCTTGTTTTGAGTGGATTTATTTGTGATGTGTAAATCCATGACTAGTAGCTTGTGTTGTGCGGCTATATCTTCTCCTGGGATGACTTTGCAGTCTATTACATCTTAATCTTCTACGAGAGATTAGCATGTTATCTATCTGTGTTTCCTTGTACCACTTTCATATGTTATTAAATGACTGTCTTTTTTCCTATATTTGGTTTTGGTTAAGGTTGAAGGCTTGCGCAAATTTCAGTATATGCTCTCCTTCATCATTTCTCCATATCCAAAGCCACTATGATGGCCCTTTGTAGCTATCTCTTGCTTTTCCCACATGTGCATTTAAGTCACCGCCTATTATGACTAGGTAATCTTTAGGGATTTCTATTACTTCATCAAGGATAGCTCTAAAGTCTTCTTTCTCTTCTTCCTTGCAACCCGTTTGAGGAGCATATACTGAAAGGATGTGTAGTATTGATTGACCAATGCAGAGTTTTATCTTCATTAGTCTATCAGAGATCCTGTTGACTTCTACTACTGAGGTTAGATCTTGACTGAGGATGATGCCGACACTGTTCCTATTGCTAACAATTCCATTATAGTACAATTTATACCCATCTCCAATTATTAAAGTGTTCTGACCTTTCCATTTCGTCTCTTGTATGCACGCTATATCAACTTTTCTCTTGTTCAACATTGATGCCAACTCTCTTTTACCTTTAAGTGTACCAATATTCAAACTTGCTAATCTTGTCTTATTTGCTTTGAACTTTATTTTACTTTTCACAGGATGGAAGTCTACACCCTGCGCGTCCCTTGGAGGGAACCCTCTAGTTTTCATAATCATATTTTCATGTTTCCTTTATTTTGTTTATTGGACAAGTATCCTTAGCACCCGGCTGTCCAGGCCTGTCGGTGACCAGGGTGTCATCTCTAAGCTCTGAAATTCATCTTACCATATCTCTTTATACATCAATCATATAAGAAAACCTTGATAATTTTTATGCTCCTTACCAGGATTGAACCTGAGTCCTTCTGTTTCCAAGCATAGATCATAACCATTAGGTCACTACTTTATTCCACTCGACATAATTTCCGGCAAATAATTCTGTCGATCCTTTTGATATTTCAATGTATAAAAATTCCCTACCAGCAAGATCTACCTCTGTAATCTCGAAGACATCACTAACTCTTAGTCATTCTTCTTAAGCAAATGTATCAACAGCTTCTGATACATATAAACTACAAACCGCCACGCAATCAAATACTCTCATCTTCATGGCCTTCTGCTCAATGATCGAATACCTCGTTTTAACATCCCCAAATACTCAGGAGAAGAAAAACACCAGTCTCTCTATCTTATTCTTATTATTTTAAAACATAAATAAATCTACTAAATTAAATTCATATTAATAAATTTATCAAATTAAACCCTGCAACTTTCAAATAATATTTATTTTTCTTCATAATTATTTTTATATATCCTACTTATTACCGTCTAGCTGGCACCAATTTCTCATAGAGAATCAGAGTTGTACAAAAGATCTTCTTTTGAAGATTGTAAAATTTGAATATCTTTTAATTTTTAAAAATTTTGTCTAACGATCTTTGAAGATCGCTGCGATCAACGATCTTCAAAAATCTTCATGATATTTATTTTTTTACCCCTTTATTAAAAGCCCAGATGTTTTTCAGTTTTCATCAAGGCAGGAGGAGAGGTATAAAAAATAAAAGAAATATTATATTAATAAAATTTAAAATCATCTGGGCTTTTAATAAAGGGGTAAAATAATAAATATCATGAAGATCTTTGAAGATCGTTACACAAAATTTTTAAAAAATAAAAGATCTTCAAATTTTACGATATCTTTGAAGATCTTTTTATTTTGAGCAAATGTACAACTCTGTAGAGAATAATAATTATTTTTATAGATTTAAATATTCATTTATTATATTAATAAGTTAGTGTAGGGTTGATGCTTGGTCATCGCATCTATGGATTGGGTTAATCAGAACCCATTTGGTTGGGTTGATTCTGGCTCATTTTTTCATCCAAAAACTTTACCAAATATCATGCTAATTAGATCCAACCAAACAATTTAACTAAACTAATTCTGCAAATTTTACAATAAAATTTACAACATGTGTTAATTTTTTTTATCAAGATTAAAAAATCTTGCTAATTCAGTAAATTCAATATTATCATCATTTTCCAGGGAAATTACTTTATTGATATATGTACCAAAATTAACTTCAGTTTTTATCTCTACCATAGAAATTTTAAATTATTTTGAAAACTAAATTTTTGCAGATAATATAAATTTCAAAATTAAATTTAAATATATAAAATTGAAAGTATAGAAGTATCCCACTATTTAGCTATTTTCTAAATTAGTAGCGTGCTACTGATATTTTTTTAAGGTAGTGCACAAAAGCTACCACAAAAAGGTAGCGTGATATTTTAACACTGGATAATTTAAAGATAAAAAAAATTAACTAAAATAAACTATTAACAAAAAAAATATAAATTTTATACCATTTATTTTAAAAGTAGTTTAATTATTTTTTAACACAAATTTCCTGAAATATTAAAGACAATCTTAATGTCTGGGGTATGCATTTTTTTTTATTAGAGCTAATAGCCTAGTGATATATTTTATACATGGCTGATATAGAAGTAATAAGTGACATCTATTGATTTTAATTTTATAATACTCATCCAAATATTTAGTACTCCTAAAAAAAGAACTCAGAAATTATGAGTTTATAAATAAAATGATTTAACAAATAAACGTTTTATATGGTTAAAGGAATAATTATTTAAATATTATTAATAATTTTCTAATATATACAACTCATTTTTTGCTTCTTGAATTTTCAGTTTTAATAAATCTTCAGTTAATGGTAATTCATTGTAGGCCTTTATCTTCAATTCAATTTTGTTAATACCATTATCAATAGAATTATAATCCTAATTAAAATAAATATATAATTGGATATAAAATTACCTCTATAAAGGTTAATAAATTCTGAAATTTAATAGGCAAAGTTTTAACATAGCCTAATGTTTCAAGTTCCTCTTGAATTGATTTCCAAATATTTTTAGATTTATTAAAATCCATCTTAAAAAAATCAATTTTTTCTTTATTTTCATTACTTAAAGAATGATTATTTTTATTTAATTCATTGGGCATTTTTGATGTTAAATATGTGCATATATCTTCCAAAAATTCATTTTCACATTTTTCTCTATTGATGGCATGGTATTGCAGAATCATGTTACTTATTTGAGCAAAAAGCCTTATAAAAAAATTATATATATAGAATAAATTAGTTTACAAGTTTTTTGATGGATATCCTATGTCTAATACTGATAAAATATTGATAATATCTTTTAAACTATCTCTTAAATTTGGTGATAGATTTTCATAATTATATTGTAACGTTGATAATATATTTTCAAGTTTAAAATCTTGAAAATATTTTTAAAAAAATAATTAAAGGCATGTTTTTACTTAATTTTTTAATATCATTTATATGTTCTTGACATTTATTTACTACACTTATATTCATTTTAAATTTCGTAAAATATTTGTTCTACATAATTTACCATAAATAAATTAATGTGACAAACCTGTCAGCCATCGATTTATAACATGAATCATGAACATATAAAATAAAAATATAATTAGAAAAATCAAGAGGGTTGGGCAAATTTTCAGAAAATTGTATTCGAATACAGATACAGATACTTTATAAAATTTTGTATTTAAGATACAAGATACATTAGAAAAATTTCAATAAGATATAAGATACAAGATACTTGTATTTTTTTTAAAAAAAAAGTATCTAAGATACAAGATACTCTTTTTTTTAAACTTTAAATAGTCAAAATCAAAATGTATAAAGCTTTATTTTCTTATCTATAATATAAATTTATAAAAAAATATTTAAAATAAATTGTAGAAAATAACAAATTTATTATAAAAGATAATGCGATATTCCATTTAATAATTATATAATTAGTAAATAATAATAAATCAGCATCATAAATCAGCATTTTTTAAAATTATTAATTTTCAAATGATTTATCGTTTAATCTTTGACGATTTGGTCTATTAACCATATCAGCAAAGCTAAATAAGGAGGGTAATATTGTGTTATATTTAATAAATATTTCTTTTATATATTTATAACTATTTAACATATTTATACTGCCTGTCATCTTTCATATAATAGGATCTCTATTTCAATATCATTTATTGAATTATTAGAATTGGATGTGGTACTTTTAAAGCAAAAGTAATCATCTTCAACAATTGAAGATTTTGTTGAAGTATTAATTTCAATATTATTTTTAAAACCAATTAAAACTTCATGTAATAACAAATCCTGAAGGTATTTTTTTTCTTTTTCACCATCAATCCAACGATTTTTAAAATAGGGATGAGAAATAGTTGCCAAAAATGCACTTTTAAAATTGTTATCAAAATCATATATATTTTTAAATCTTTTATTTAAATAATTTTCTAGCAATAGCTAATGGTTTGCAAAATTGTAGATTGGTTTGAATTAAATTTGTAATTTTTTTTAACGACATTTATATTGCAATATTCTTATAAATATTGAATTTCAATATCGCTTAATTTAGGAAATTCTAATTTTTGACATAATTTAGGCATCCCCTTTAAATTTTAATAAACTATGAAGACTATCATACAAACTATTCCATCTAGTGCAACAAGGTGTAACTAATTGTTTTACTAAAACTGCTTTGATAAGTTCTGCAGTTTTAGGCCTATTATTTGCATTCCATAGCTTAGTACATTTAGCTATTGCAGGATGATGAATTTTAGAAATGTCAGGAGAATCCTTAATAGCTCTCTCGACATCTGTTGTGGCAATTAGACTTATAGTATGGCACAAACAATGAATGTGTTGAGGCAATGTTATTGAGGCTTCTTTAGATCCTTAAATAAACAAATAAATAATTTTATTTGAATAAAATTTTTTACTAAATTTACAATATCATAATAAATTTTAAAGAAGTATTAAATAATACTTTCAATGATTTCGAATTCTATACATTCATCATCATTAATGTCAAAGTCATTCTCTACAGCTTCCATAGAATATCCAAACTCCTTGAAAGCTTTCTTAAAGTTAGAGCCGTTATCGTAACAGTTGCTATAACCTTTTCGTCAATACCAAAGTCACGATGAATTTCTTTATTATGATCATCTTGAAGTACTTCAAAAAATTTGCCATTAAGTATGATTAGTTTAAATTTATTGTTATAATTTTCGGTTGAAGAATCATCTGAAGACGAAGATAAACATATTATTCTATTTTCTTCTTCCATAATTTTAAAATAGACAGATATAAAACGATTTAAATATGGTAGTTCTAATTGTTAGCAAATTGCTATATGACGACCAACGTCATATATCAAAAATTATCTTAAAATATCTAAATTTTGATTAAATTTTTAATTTAAATCTTAAAACAGTATCATTTTAAATTTTAATACTATTTAAATTAACCAATATAAATTTTTTTTAAAGTATCTGTATCTTTTTGAATACAAAGCGTTAAGATACAAATATTTTTAAATAATATGTATCTTAGATGCTGGATACAAGATACTTTCCAAAATTTAAAAAAAGATACAAGATACAAATATCCGCAATGCTGCCCAACCTTGAAAATCAATATATTATTATGTTTCCAAATAGATTTGATACCAGATATATTTCTGTTATATTAATTTATTAACTAATTTTAAAATAATTAATATGTATCTATATTAATAAAATGTAAATTAAATATACAACAAAATTAGCATGTTTAAAATTTAAGATATTTAGTTAATATATGGAATTACATATATTATTTAACTAAATATGATAGATAGTTTACATTTATTCTAAATATTAAAATTTGCTAATAACATTTTTTCAAATAAGAAGAATATTTATAAGTAATGTTTCAATTATATATTCTTATACTTTTTTAAATGTTAATTAAGTCGGGATAATCAGTGGCGTCACTAAAGAAGAGCGCAGGGGCTCGAGCCCCCTAAAAATTTTGAATAGCCCCCTGAAGCAAAAGAATTTTTTTTAATGGCTCCTTAATATCCCCTTGAACTAAAAATAATTTTAATTGCCCCCTGAACGATTTCTTTTATAATTCTAATGAGTAATATATAAATTTAATTTTATTATTTAAAAATTAATAAGACTATCTAAATTTTTATTAAATGAATAATATTATAATTATTAGATTAGATTAATACATATAAATTATATTTTAACTGTCAGCTTGCAATCAGATTCTGTGTTAAAAATAGAATATCAATATCACTCAATAATTATTAATTTCACATTAACAGTTAAAACTTAATTAACTTTTATTATTTAAATTATTATATAACCCAAATTAAATAAATATTAATTGAAAATTAACAAATTAATATTGAAATTAGCCGAGTTCAAAAATTTAGTTACCATGCCTCTACCTAAAGTTATTTTCAAGGTCCAAATCCAAATAAGTATAAGAGATTTATTTATATAAAGTAAGTAGACCAATGACATTAATACTATAGACTGCCGATGAATATATTTGAAGTGGCAAAAATTGAAGTGACTGGTGGCCATTTTGTGATTGTATATTTTACGAAAGAACCATATGATAATTTCATAAATTTCAGGTATATTTTTATTTTTATTATGTTTATATTTATAATATATATATTCTAAACTGAATATGAATAAAAGAAATCTGTTTACATTCCCTAATTGATAATTCCGCAAACGACAATAATTATATATTAATAAAAATTAAGAATTATGGTCGATTGATTATACCATCCCAAAGCATGTCAAATTTATGCAAAATAACAGAGAGCTCATTCAGGGCTTTTGAAAAAGTAGATGAAACAACCAAAAGACATGCTGTTAAAAAAATAGAATGTCTAATATTGTCAAAAATATTAGGCACAAATATCCTTAGTGACCTGCAAGATCATATGTTTGATCAAGAGGCAGGGTTAAGTCATTATCAAATTATAATAAGACTTATAATAAAAAGTTATATATAATATTTACTTGATTTTAATAAAAATTTATTTTCAGATACCTGCACATAAGAATGCATCATTTTGGTAATAAAGTAAATCAAAAATTACAATTAAATATCAGGCAAAAACTAAACAAGGCTGTACTTTTTCAAGGGCAATAAACCAAGTAATATAAAAATATGTTATTTAACTTAAATATTTATAGGTGAAGAACAAATTATCTGAAAATTTCTAATGACTTTATTGGTTATAATAAATTAATTTTATTAGACATATTAAATATAACATATATATATTATTTGTATTTATTATATATCTATAAGATTAATATTTTCTTTTCGCGATACATATTAATTATAATAATATAATTATTTTATTTGATGTAAATATAACATAATATATATTATTTGTATTTTTCATGATATATATTTACATTATTGATTTTTATACTTTAGTGAATTAAATTTAAATAAAGAAATATATTTAGAAATGGATAGTTTATATTTATTAAGGAATAACATAATTATAAGCAAAAATAAAACATAAAAGACATAAGACATAAATTATAAAAATACAAAAGAAATCTAGAATTGATTTCTATAAAAAAAAATATTCATGTATTTTTGAATTAATCTGGCTTCTAGGAAACCTGCATGTTATAATTTATTATTCATTATTTTGTTACTTTTAGAAAATGCTTTGGAAAATTAAAAATTGATGGTATTGCTCCCTCTCTTAATTGAACATGATTTGTAACAGATGGAATAAATGAATCTGGTGTAAAATGCTTTGAACATAATTTACTATATTTTGTTACATTGAAGTTCTCTCTCTTCACAGCATGGGTCCACTTTTGTAATAATATTTTATCTTTCATAGGAAATCTGCCATAAATAATTTTTACAATAGAATAATTAATTTGAGATATCATACTTATGAAAGGAAATTTTGCTTCCTCACCAATATACTACCATTTTAAATCTTTTAGTAATTAAAAAATATTAAATTGAATTCTTATAAAAGATATTCATTATTAAATAATAAATTGCAAATGTTAATAAAGAGCAGAAATATTTAAAGTAAAATATTCAGTAGTGACCTTTATTTGATTCATATATACTATAATATATAAGGTAAATAATAAATTGGTGTTTAATTAGAATATATATATATATTATAAATATAAACATAATAAAAATATACCTGAAATTTAGGAAATTATCATATGCTTCTTTCGTAAAAGATACAAACTGTTGTGTTATTCCTTTATTTTATTTTTTGTTTTTTTGCATTTGAACTTTTATTATTTTGTTATAATCTAATTTTATAAACGGCGTAACCTTACTTTTTTATATATTATTTTACTTTGTTATATTTGTTTATATTCTAATTTATATTTTAGAAAAGGTATAAATACCTTAACAAAAGAAAAAGAAAGGAGTTAATAAAATATATTTTTTATTTAATAAAGTTAATAAAACTTTTTTATTATTCACCGGCACATATTCAT